GGTTTCGGGGTTTAGAGTTTAGGGTTTACGGGGGGGGTATCGTGTAGTCTGGCATCGTCTAGCCTAGTCTTGTCTAGTGTGGATTCGTATAGTCTAGCTCAGTCTAGTCTAGTCTAGTCCAGTCCAATCGGTTCCAGTCTAGTTTAGTCGCGACTGGGGCACACTTTGCGCTAAGCCTTTACTCAGCCCCGAAGACCCCCAAACCCTAATTAAACCCCAAAAACCCACAACCCTCCCGGAGCCCCTGAGCCCAAAACACCAAAGCCAAAGCTCCCTGCAATCCCAAATAGCCCAAAGCCAAAGCCCCAAAGCCCCAAAGCCCGAACCCCAAGGCCCCAAAGCCAAGAGCTCAAAGAGCCCCAAACCCTCAAAATTCCAAAAAAGAACCTTAAACCCTAAACCCTAAACCCTACACCCTAAACCTCAAAGCTCAAAGAACCCGAGCCGCCTGCAGTTGCAACGCTGCGCGCGCGAGCGACACCCCGAGGCTGCGAGCCGCAAGTTCTTCGTAGTACCTGTCGCGGGGTTTAGGATTTAGGGTACTTGGGGGTTTATGGGGTTCGTTTAAAGGGATCTAGAAGGGTTCTACAAGGGATCTATACAGGGGTTTTGGGAGTTATGGTTTGGGATTTAGGGTTTAGGGGTTTAGAGTTTAGGATTTAGGGTTTAAGGGTTTAGGGTTTAGGGGTTGAGGGTTGAGGATTTTTAGGAATTAGAGTTAAGATTTAGGGTTTTAGGATACACCTGGGATGTGATCCGCTGTACAGATACATGCAACCAGATGATTTCAAGTTCTTGTCAACTCATCTACGCAACATCAAGCTGCTCGAAAAGATCCAAGAATCCAAATAAAAACATGGAGCAAGCAATGTTTGATAGCCCCAGGACTACCCTAAAGTCACAACCCACTGATAGATTACGTTTTCAAGACTCAAGACCAGACGACGCGAAACAAGCTAGATCCCAAAGCCAGTTTTTTTGCGAGGCACTCTTCGAAGCCTTCCCTTATAAGTCTAACTAGGGGTTTCCAAGAAATGCAAGCCTGTAGTGGTAGGATCCCGAGTATCAGGTGAGGAGTCTAAAGTGAGGCACTCACCCAAGGTGAAGAGACCACCGAAGAATCCCAAATTGTAGAGCCGCCTACCAAAGCGATGGTATTCCGCTTGATCGGCCTCGCGTCGCTGTTTGGCGCAGTGTCTTCGCTCAGCACAGGCACGGCTCAACAAAGCGGGGTTTTTGGCGACCTCGGTGTTTCGGTTGAATCCTCAGGGAGTAATAGAGCTGGTATATGGATAGTTCTCTAAATTAGGGTCCTTTTTATAAGGGTGCCGTATCTGCTACTTTTGTGACCCAAAAAAGGGACCCTGCTGTACCGAGCTATCCATATGTATATGGTTCCTTCAAGGCTGAAGCTGGTAGACCCTCGACTTTACCCGTAGGCCCCAAAGTAGTTCCTTTTTGGGGATTACCTTATGGGATTCTACATATGAGCCCCCAAAAAGGAACTAATTTGGGGGCTTAGGGTAGACTTTAGACTGTATAGTATAGACTCTTACGGGTTTGTTGTTCGTCGTAGATGCGCTGGCCCCCTTCACTTACAGGTCTCTGGCCCGAGTAGCTGGTTAAAGGAGTGCTTGGAGGTTCATGGGACTTGGTAAGTAACCATTCTAAGTACAATTATACCCCTAGTTACTAAGTCCCATGAACCTTTAAGTAGCTAACTCCCCATGAAAAGTATGGTATACTTCAGAAGGGGCCCCCACCTTGTAATAGTGGTATAATAGGAACATAATAGGGCCCTAATAGAACCTCTACCCGACCTTAGTGAGGGTACTTAAGGACTTAGGGATTTAGGGGGTTCAAGGGTTAGGGGGTTTGGGGACTTAGGGGTTTACGGTTTAGGGGTTAGGGTTTAGGGGTTAGGGGTTTAGGGTTTAGGGTTGAGGTACTCCAAAAACACTGTGCCACAGCTTCTCTGTCCCGATCAGCAGTTTCAGTAAGCCGCACTGAGGGCTCAAGGGGCACGGTGAAGTGTCTGTGGGTCAAGTGCCTTAACCTGGTTTTCTGTAAGTTCTAAGTTGTTCATTGCATCAATGCATAGACTGCATAGAGACCCTACAAATGAAGTAGGTTTTCTACAAAAACGTAGTCTTTTTAGTTCGAGGTAGGGATCAGGGGCTTATGATTTAGGTGTCGGAGAGTCTTGCTCTACGGCTTGGTCCCAGAGGAGTGTGGGATGTTCCTAGAGACTCCAATATCCCTTAATTAAGGAATATTCCTCAAATTATGGTAGGATCCCTTATATGATTTAAGGTATATTCCTTAATTGAGGGATATTGGAGTCTCTGGATTGAGGAACCAAGGCATAAAGAACCCGTTCAAGTACCCTAAACTTCTCGAACCCTTGGAAATACTTCTTACCGTATAAACAGTGTAGACCCTTATCAATCCTATCTTCAGAGGCACCAGCACTAGGATACCGATGAGAATCCTTGATATAATGAGAGGTTGTGCTAACATCGCACTATCCTTCATTCTGAATTCTTCAAGGGGTCCTGCCGAAGATCCCGAATGCTCAAGCCGTAAACCCAAGCCCTAAACCCCTAAACCTTACATCCCAAACTCAAGACCTCTTAGGCTGACTTGTCATGCTGTTAAGCCTTATGGCTTTATTGGCTACCCGAAACCCAAAACCAAGGGCTTTCTTAAACCTAAACCCTACGCCCTTCTTAAGTGAAGGGCTATGGGGGCCGCTTTGAAGCCTTTTCTAAGAGTTCAGGTGGCTGCGCAAGGGCTCTCGCCCACTGCGGCAAGATTCACAGAGGAGTCGGCCCGGGTTTCAAGTAGGTCTTTGGGGTTCAGGGCTTTCGGGTTGAGGGGTTTGGGGATCTAGAATTTGGGTAGAATTTGGGTTGAAGTTGTGGGGGTCCTGAGACTGGTTTTGGGCTTAAGGGCTTAGCTCTTCGCATGACGTAGCATTGGCTGACTAGGGGACTTCTGCACCGTTCCGATGCCTGCACTTCCATGTGGCCCAAAATACTAGGGCACCCGTATGAACAGGACTCCAAAAGGGTGCCGCATTTGGAGAACCCCACGCGTTCAGGCTCCTTCCCTTTTAGGGCGCGCCGTAGTTAGTGCAACGCCCTTGGGGGAGTTTGGGCGCTCGTAGATATACCTGGCTTTGGAAGCGTGGGTGCAGCATGCAAGTAGCCTCGACGACTCGAGGAACATTGGCGTTACGACCTTCGCTTGATCCTTCTTTCGCATGTTGCATTCGAGCTGAATCGTGGACCCCAGTTGAAGCTCTAAACTATAGACTGATTTCAATCGGCGTGGGTTTTGCCACAGCCAAGTACCCAAGGTTTTGAGCGAAGCTGTTCTGTGTCAGGAGATGTTGTTTATTACGAGGTCACGAACCCAGGCGGCACTTTGGTATGTTTTTTTGATTTTAAGTTTTGCCTGCACAGTGTCTTGTTCGTACGTCTTGTCCCGGGCTCTTAAGAAGAACACCCAGGAATCCACAGACGCTGACTGTGCCTTGGAGCAGCTTCTGCCTGCCAAGGTTTTCTGTTCCGAGTGAGCTGTTTCTGGGCAATGCAAAGGCAGAACACGTGTCAATATTGTTCCTTCGGGCTCCGTATTTCTGTCCCAAATCCCATTCTAGTTGTGAAGGCCCACTGTTTCGATTCACAGGCAGTGTCGGAAAGAAGCATGAAGGACGGTAACATAGACCCGACATGATATGAGATCCTCTTCAATCCTTCTAGGGGTTTCGGGTTTAGGGTTGAGTCTTCCTGCATAACTCCTGCATCCTGTTTCCGTTCTATTCCTCAGTCTGGGACACGCCAGTATCATATCACCGGCGTTCCAAGTTTTACCATCATGTTGTGCCCATCATTGTCACACGCTCCTGGATGCCTTGCACATCGGGGATACCAGTTTGGACAAGTCGCGAACTCCGCTTGCTCGATATAGTACCAGGTAGCTACAGGAATTGGCATCCCGACAGTGGCCGAGCTTGGCGTTCGATTGAGTTCTATGTACAGCCTTTCAGGCTTTTGTCGATGACAAGTGCCTTCTTTATGGGATCCCATAAGCTGTTCAAACTTGTCTGACACCTTCTCGAAAACCTAAGACAACCCGACAAACTCCCCTACACCAATAAAACCTCTCTGTCCGAAGCCACAGGTGATTGCCGTCAACGTCGATGGGGTCGTTGAGTGCCCCGGCTGGATCTTCGAGAGCGTGCCGCAGGTCCAAGGGGTCCAGGGGGAAGTTGGCTTAGGGGTTCCTTTAAAGGGTTTAGGGTTTATAGGGTTTGGAATTTAGGGTTTAGGGTTCCTTTAAAGGTTTGAGATTTAGGGTTCAGGGTTTACCCATAGGCCCCAAAGTAGTTCCTTTTTGGGATTACCTTATAGGATTCTATATATGAACCCCACGAAGGAACTACTTTAGGGCCTTGGGGTAGGGCTATGACATGGCGGTGAGCGTGAACAAGGGGGTGACCATAAATTGATATCGAGATTATTGATGCAGGCCGTACAAAAGTTCTTTCAAGTCTAGGCTGGAGAGAGATTCTGGTGTAAGGGCTCATGGTTTAGGTGCTGTGTAGCCTCATCTGTGCGGCTCAGGTACCTGAGGTTTGTGGCTAGGGTGGAGCACAACTTGCATGACATCTCATGCGCGGTGCGTGCCATGCCATGTCGATTCTGGAGATGACCTGATACTTAGAATTGGGGGCTTCCGAATATAGGGGACCCTAATGTAGTACCCTAAATAGTAGGATCCCTATTATAAGGACCCCCTATTTTCGGAAACTACCAAGTGCTGCTGCGATAGTGAGAATCAAAATTGTCTGGCGCACGTGAAGATCACCACCCTTCTTGGTGTGTCTCCCTGAATCCTGAACTTCCCAAGCCCTAACTCCCCAAGTCCTAAACCCTACAAACCTGCTGGAAAGTGAAAGTGCATTTGCGCTAGTCACCGCTAGTCCACAGGACATGTGTCCGCTGATTGCCTACCCTTACCTCGTGAGTCTGCTCCTGGGACAGCATGGATGAATGGAGCAAACCGGTGGTTGAGGAGCCCCAGAGTGCGTGTTCACACACTTTCAACCGAGCTTCTTTAGGACCACTTGGGTCTTTAGCCAGTCTTATGTTAACATGGTTTCATTTCAGGTGTTAGCCCCAAGCCCTCAGCACCAAGCCCTCATAGAACGATTGGAGGAATCCTTAAAGTAGCTGCATGACCCTAAGGACTCTAAACTATGGGAACTATGGTATATTCCTTATAACGGGTAATGCAGGATTTTTTCCATCACTATTATCGGCCCCCAACCCCAAGACCCTAAACCCTAACGGACCCCAAAGCCCTAAACCCTAATGGAACCGAAAACCATAAACCCTTATGGACCCCAAAACTCTAACTCGGATTTGTAGGGCCCCTACTCTTATGCCCCTCACGGTCGAAGGAAAAAATGTTTCCCGGATGGGATCTGAAAGGCCCTGTATGAGAATCCGAGTGTTACTCTATACCTGCGAGGTTTGGGGTGTAAGGGTTTAGGATTTAGGGTTTGAGGCTTTAGGGTTTTGGGGGCTTAGGACTGAGACAATATTCAATTATTTTCCTCCCAGGTTCGCCTACGCCGTCATGATAGCCTCGGCTGTTCTCATGATTGTGGGCTGGATGGCCACAGTTTGCACAGACGATAGCAAGCCGGCTGCAAGAATCCGTCTCTTGTTCCCTTCAGGACGGTAGACCGCATTTTCAAGCGCAGGTTGCTGAAAGGATTAGGGGATGTAGTTTGAGTTAGGGTTTAAGGGTTTAAGGGTTTAGGGTTTTGAGTCATAAGCAGCTTCATCCACATGTAAAGTATAAAATAAACAAGCATACTTAACGTAAGGAAACATAAGGTCTCTCTAAGCACTACGCCCCCCCTTCAAAGGACCCTGACAGAACTCCTATGAAGCTGCAGCCTTCATACCATATAAAACCCCCAGCGACACCTTCAGAGAGCCTTTTTAAGTCCTCTCCCTAAACCCTAGGCCCCTAAACCCTAACTCCTAAACCCTAACTCCTAAACCCCTAAACCCCTAATCTTTTTATGGGAGCTGCCTCGGATCCGAGGTAGCTGCGTCTTCCGCGCTGCGCTGGCGGGTTACTGGTTTTCGAATCTGGGAGCTTCCATCTTTGCGGCCTTTGTGGTGCAGACCCTCCACTTCCACATAGGCGAAGGCCCGGAGTGTGAGGAATTGTCAAAATTCGGGTCCCTTTGGGAACCAAAAGGGACGCTAATTCAGAGAACTACGCGGATATGTGAGTGATCGTGTAGGTGGTCGTGTGGGTTCGTCTTGCAACGTCGTGAGCGCATTTGTGTATGTCAGAGCCACAGATTCAGGATGAAAGCACAATCAACGCAAGTCATCACCGCCATCATCACCAGGATCTTGAGTTCCATCTTCCTCCGATCCATCCGAGGCTACCAGAAGTTCTAGTGTATATCACGCGTCGCGAAGGCTACACACATACACACTGTTTTCAAGAACCTGATGGGGCGGCTGCTAGGTACATAAGTTGGTGAACTGAGACCTGGTTCGGACTTCCTCAACAGATAGAGAGAGACGGATGACTTGGCGTCTAGATGTGCGGTGATCATGGCGAAGAAACACAAGCAGTGGCCACCTCAACCCCGAACCCCCTGAACTGCAATGTAACCAAAAGCCAGGTTTCAGGTTGTAGCCAAGGCCTACGCCTAGAGACCAGGCGTTCGCAAGTAAGTGGGGCTTAAACCTGAGCGGCATGCAACATGATTTTTCTGGAACGTTGTAGTTCTCATAGTATGGTTGCCCTAATACTTGTTTGGGGGGTATACTACACTATGACAATTAAAGTGCAATAAGGAACCCTAAGGCCTCAGGAATACTGTTTGTAGCTATTCTGGTTTTCTAAGGTGCTACATTAGACCGAATCCTCGTTCAAAGATTTCTTTCCTCTCCGTTGACGAGTTGGCGTTGCCCGCCTGTGTAGGTTTAGTGGCTTAGGGTGTAGGTGCAGTAGGGCTTTAGGGTTTTAGTCCCAGGGTGTTTGGGGAGTTCTGACTCAGCTGTAGATCCGGGCTGCTTGATCCTTTTCTTTCCGGGCTTCTGAATCGGAAACTTCAAAATCACACGTAAAAATTTATTCTCAAAACCTCTAAGAAATACGACGCGTATGTATAACCTACGGCATCCCTTCTGAGGCGACGAAAGCTTGCTCTTAAGCGTCATTGGCTACTTGGCCGTTCACGTTTCGGATTTTGACGGGGATGTCGGGGCCTGGAAGCCTTCGCACTCTACTCTCTTTAAAATGGGAGTTTCCGAGAATAGGGACCCCAAAATAAGGTACCCCGAATTTTTTGAACACTCCGAAATGTAGATCGTTTCTCTGCCCCTCCATTTTCGCTTCGCTGCAGTGAAGTGTATCAACTGAGGGCCAACAGTATGGCAACTGTCACGCTTTGTATCCTGCGGTTCCCTGAACACGTGAACGAAGGCATCTTGAGTTTTCCGAGACCAGCACATCGAAGAGTGTTTCCATATCGAAAGCAGCACATCACCGTCGCTTCCATGTTGAAGACTGTGCATCAAGAGCTTCTGATGACACCAACCACCCTTCAGCGAGGTTAAGCTTACGTTGGCTAGTAGGGAATGGAAGAATGGTAGTAATAGTAGTTACAATTGTATCCCATTCCTCCATTCCCTACTAACCAAAGGTAAGCTTCAGCGAGGTTGAGGAGCTGAAGGCTTGAGGTTGTGATCTGGGGAGCGTTCGGGAACCCACTTTGAAGTGTGGCTATACCCGAACCGAGCCTCATCTTCAGTGCAGTGCAAGCTGGTTCGCCTTGAATTAAGCGTTGGTAGGGATTTCACCCGAACAGAATTACAACCCCAAAGCCCAAAACCCCAAAAACCTCTGGAGCCTTGTTTTCATAGAGTTTTTTACAGTAGCCCTAAACCCTAAACCCTAACCCCTAAACCCTAAACCCTAAACCTTTAACCCTAAACCCTGAACCTTAAACCCTAACCCCTAAACCCTAAACCTTAAACCCTAACCCCTAAACCCTAAACCCTAAACCCTGAACCTTAAACCCTAACCCCTAACCCCTAAACCTTAAACCCTAACCCCTAAACCCTAAACCCTGAACCTTAAACCCTAACCCCTAAACCCTAAACCCTAAACCCCTGCGAAGCAGCCGAGGCACCAATGCGTATACGACACTAGTCTTCGAGGCGCCGATGGCGATCGTGACTCGGTGCCTTTAAGGGTCCCTTTAAGGGGGTCTATAGGGTCCCTTAAGGGTCCCTTTAAAGGGATCTCTGGGGAGTCTATAAGGGTATAGGGTTTCAGGCTCTACTTGGTTCATGGGTAGTTATAAGTCGGGTTTTAAGGTCCCTGATATGGGATATAAGCATAGTTACCCTACTTATAACCCTACTTCTAACTACCCATGAACCTCCAAGTAGGAACATACCTCTAGTCTCCACTGTAGTTCGCTTTGTGGTTAACCAATCTTATTTCACAGGATCCTAATAACCGGAAAGGGTACTACAATTGAGACTCAACTGAGACTATAGGTACTTTTTGAGTGGCACTCTTGATTACAGCACACGCAGATCGCGGATCAGCTCTACTCTGCAAAGCTAGACAGACACAAATGCCGGTGCGAACGCAGACGTGGAGGCACACCAAGCGAGCAACAAGCGAATAGATGCACGGACACATTGGCAAGCCGGCGTTTTAGCATAACACAGAGCAATCCCTGAGCTTTTCCTTCAAATGCAGACAACGACGCACAGAAGCAGTGGATTTTGCATGTGCTTGAATGGAGAAATCAGCATCCGTCTCGCTGGCGCTCTCTCTCTCTCTCTCTCTCTCTCTTTCTGTTTTGGTTTGTCTCTCTCACAGCTCCTTTTTGGTTTGTCATACCCATACGTTCGTTCGTACACATGCATGCATGTATGTAGTCGATCGCAAGTATAGTGAGAAGTGGTTGATCGCATACGCAAATCTGTTGTCACCCCAAGCCAATCCTGCCCGCGAGCCGCCGAGGTGCAGCATGTAAGCTGCATCCGGCGCCGCAACTCGGTGGAAAGTTTGAGAGCTTTTCCGGGTGTGCTTAGGATCCTAAACCCCAAACCCTAAACTTTAGCTTCTTGGAGTTGTCAGCTCTGGGCTTTTAGTTTTACGTGTAATTAGGTTTAGGACTGTAGGTTTAAGGTTTCGAGTTTTGCGCCCGGCCGGCTCCTGTAGAAAGCCTTGGAACCTCGAAGCAACGAAGGCACACTCACCCTTGCCCCTACACTCTGAATCGGCTCAGGGTGTAGGGTACACTTTGAAACGTCAGGGGCTGCCGAAGAGTCCAAAGTAGCTTTCTACCACTGCAGCTGCTGCTGTTGCAGGAGCTCATTACTCGCATTGCTCACGCCACCGCTGCTGCTGCTGCTGCTGCTGCCGGCTACTACTTCTCCTGCTACTTGCTACCGCTACTACTACTACTACTACTACGACGACGACGACTACTTACTACTACTACTACTACTACTACTACTACTACTACTACTACTACTACTACTACCACTACCGCCACTACCACTACCACTACCACTGTAACTACCAAAGACACTCGGCCAATACTCACACTCGTATGAGCTGAGTCGCAAAAGCTTGTCAATGCATTTAGGGGCATTTTTTGATGACAGCGGTCCTCCACGTAGCAAGGTCACAGGTCATGCAGATTCAACTACAGCCTGGGTATACATCCTCCGCTGCACGAAAGGGAAGTTTCACAAAGAGGGATAGTAGTTGAAAGCCGGTATTAATCCTACAAAGCCCGTATCACCATGGTCTACAGAAGCCACCCTAAACCCTAAACCCTCACATAAGACCTCAGGTGGGGCCTTGTTCGTGACCAGCTCGGGTATGCTGGGGATTATGCTTCTTGTCTTGCATGCAGTACTCAGGTTGGGTCTTCAGGGACCTGTAAGATTTTCTGGAAGGATTCGTTTGAGGATTCGATCAATGTTTGGGTTTTCGTGGTTCAGGGTTGTTAGGGTCTTAATGGCTTAATTTGTTGGGGGCTTAGGGTTCAGGGCTTAGGGGCTGCACCACACCTTGCCGCTTGCCACAACATGGATTTGATGTGTGTATACATACATATATATACATATATATATATATATGTATATGTGTACATGTATATATGTATATGTGTTCTGTTCTGTTCTGTGCGGACTCTCGATCCACAGGTCACGTGTTGTGACACTACGTGGTGCGTCCCAAAACTCTTGCTACGAATTCTGACACGGTGAAACATCAGGGATAGCGGAGACCTGCTGAGTCCGTGGACGTTGCATCCAGAAACGATGTGCAGTGGTGCGTGCCGGTTCCCGACTGCGACCCTGCACGAAGTCCATAACCCACACAACGTGGGCAGGTTCTGGGTGAAATCCACGCGATAGGGAGGACAGAAGATCGGATTCATCCTCATCAGTGCTGAGACCCCCCTCTATCTTCTCGGCTGTGGTGGGAAGCTTCGGTCCGAAGGCAATGGGGGCCCTGGCGGAGGGTGCAATCCCACTGAAATGGCGCCAACCACCTTTCCGAACCTTACGCTGTATTGTGGTCGCAGCTGCCTCGAGCTGACGGAACTGGTCGCAGGTCAGAGGCTTGTGCAGATGCAAACAGCGTATGAGGCAGGTATCCGATCTTTTGAGGTGTTGCTGTGCCAAGAGGATGTTCGGGAATACCTTATGGCAAGCGATGCAGGTCTCGCTAGTAGCATAATGCCGTGCAGGGGAGAAGACCTGATGAGCTCTGGCAAGGTGAGCATGAAGATGTTTGCGTAGTGGGAATGAAGCCTGACACAGGTAGCAGGCATGCTCTCCACTAGCAATGGAGCGAGGATCGTGGCGGCCTGCAGTCCCAGTGTCTACTGTGACCCAGTGCTCCAGATCTTCAAGAAAGGTTTTGGTGGCAAGCTTGACTTGGCGGGGCCACCAGGTGTGGTCTTGGCTATAGGTCTCAAGTAACCCTAGCACGCGGTCGGTACCCAAGACATTGACAACACTGGGAAGGTAAGACGCAACAAGGGTGATGTCTGTCTGTAACTGGGCCAACCATGCGGTTCGCGGTTGCGCATGCCAGTGATCCCAAAGAAGGGCGACAAGCTCGCGAGGGCCATGCCTGAAAAGCCTAGCAACAAATCCAGCACGCGCTCCGGCCAGCGCTAGCGTGGGCGAGGCTGCTTGGGCTTCGTGCAGCACGCGATAACAATGTTTTTGCCCTGACGCAGATTTACGACGAAACAAAGCTCGCCAAAGTGACATATAGTGCTGCTCCCAAACTCGTGCGTGACAAGCAACACCTAGCATCAGTGCTGCAGCAGAGTGAGCGAACTTCGAGATTACCAGTGAGCGAAGAATGTACGCTCGGGTTGTGAGTGGATACTCACAAGCACTGAAGAACTTCTTACGCAAAGGCTTAACAGTGCCAGAGGCCTGGGCGTGTCGGAAGTGCAAGTCGGGCACTGGTGTGCTGGTGGAGGTGACAATGCCACCGAGATGGCGATAAGACTCGACAACCGGCACAAGGTAAGTGGTATGCATGACACTATTATCAAGCGATAGGCAGAGCTGGCCTTGATCGTCATGTTGGAACTGCTGGGCAGCTTCTCGCAGCACGACTGGCGGAAACAGGGCTGCGGTTTTTTCACGTCCGCACTTGACTTGCATCCCAACGGACGAAGTGTAGTCAACGATGGTACGGATGGTGTCGCCAGTGCGCTGTACAAGATCCGCCGGAGAGGTGCCGGTCTGCGGAGCGACGAAGTCGTCTGCCCACGCAGGTTGTCCCAGGGGGACTGGTCCATCGAGGGCGATGCAATTAGGACGCTGTGCGCACGGAAGGTGTGGGACCAAACCTGCCTCGCTCAGACGCTGCTGCACAGCTTTGAGGGCAGCAGCAAGGCTGAAACCAAAGAGAAGATCTGCTGTCGGGTCCCCTGGGCGCGATCCTTTCTTGGTAGACGTGAGGGCTGGAAAGCCCGAAAGTCTGAACCAAGTACCTCGGAAGAGGTCTTGCACGAGGGCAATGGCATGTGATGAAGCTCCAAGCATTGGTAGCTGAGCCATGGACTCGAGGTGTGTTTTGAGCTCGCGAATGGCATCAGGGGGCAATCGTAGGCCATGGAAGAGTCGCAACAACTTGGAGTCATCGGTGGTGGGCGGCACGATCGTCTGACGCAAAATGCCGTAGAAAGCTGCCTGAAGATCAAAGAAAGCCAGCGCGGCATAAGAGCCGCGACCAGAGGACATGGCGTAGAAGGTCCGGGCCGCTAACGCTACGCCCTCAATGCCCTGACCAGGGGCAACGCCAGATTGAAAGGCAGGCTGTGAGTCGACAAGCAAAGGTTTGAGGACTTCTCTAAGATTGCGGTGAAGTAGTTTACCTGGCACGGAAGAAATGAGTATAGATCGGAACGCTTCGCACGTCAATGCGCCGGTGGCGCGTTTCGCCAGGCAACACAAATCACCGCCTCTGAAAGCGACTGGCTCATAAGCCCGGAGTGTGGCTTTCAAGAAAACTGGAAGTAGTTGTCTGGCAGCGGCCGGCGCATGGAGCTGCAGCAGCTCGGAGGTGATGCCGTCCGGCCCGGCAGCCTTCCCTCTTTTGGCCGCAATAATGAGCTGCTCTACCCTTGCAAGCGTAGGCGGGATGCGCATGTCAAGCGTCCAGGGAAGGACCTTAGAGGCCTGCAAATCCTCAACATACTCATCCGGTGTGACTAGCACTCCAGCTTCCTGAGAGGCGAAATGTCGACGCCAGGCTTCGGCTCGGGCATTGGTGGTGGTGGTAAAGGTGCCGTCCTCAAGCTGGAGCATAGGTAAAGCCCTGGTGGAGGCACGCCTAGAAGCTCGCGCAGAGGGGAAGACCTTTCGGAGGGCCCTATACAGGGACTTCGAGTCCTGTATGTTGCGAGCGGCAAGGTCGTCAGCGAGGGTTTGTATGTGTGCAGCCTTGTCTGCGGCAACAGACCGTCGTAAGGCAAGAGCGGTGCGGCGATAGTTGGCGACAACGATAGCCTCGTTGCGATCGACTGCCCGTAACCAGTAGTCGGCGAGCTCGAGTTGGCTGCTGTTGAAGGCTGCACCCCGGCTGTGCACGAGGAAGGCCCCGAAACCAAGGATTAGCCAACGGAGCCGGCGCTCTTGTGCTTCCGCTTTCAAGGCTGGTCGCAGAGCTTTTCTTTCTTGTATCAAATCAAGTGTGCTGGCTGTGAGGTATGGCTGGCGAGGCAAAGGGGGGTCAGCACGAGCAACGGCAACCCCAAATGCATGCCAGTCTTGCACTAACTTGGAGTAGTGCTCGTCAACTGGACGGGTCCAAGACTGCATCGAAGTGGAACAGGAGAAGAATGCCAGATCAATTGCTGAAAGGTCAGTCTTGTCAGGACGCAGGACACGCTTCTGGCTAGCTTGGTAAAATGCAGGAGGCAGTGGCCTGGTGAAGGCACAGAGCAAGTGTACCGGAAGATGGTCCTCACGCATCTGTAACAGTTCAGCCTGTGGCAGTGTTCGCGACACCAGTACTGCATCGCGCCAGGTGTCCGGTATGAGGACGTAGTCAATGCGAGACCATGTGCCGGAGGGAGAACACCAGGTATGAGAGCTGCCTTGGTGCCATTGACTCCAAGTAGAGGGTGCCAGTGCACCAACCTTTACGAGGAAAGCGTGGAAAGCCTCTCCGGCTTGACCCTCCTGCTCCGCAGCATGATCCCCAACTAGTTCCGAAGTGCAATCGCCCAGCCTAGAGTTAGCATCGCATAGGAGCAGGAAGTCCGCGCCCTCAGGGCGGCGCAAAAGGTCGCACGCTCTTTCATTCCAGAAAGCTTGGCACTCTGTGACTGGTACCGAAGCTGCGGAGGGCGCATGTATGACCTGGATGTGCAATTGCAATCGTGGCGTGATCAGGTTGACGGCGAGGTGTCTGGGCGATGCCCCTACGACGGTAACGTCATTAGGCTTAACCTTCACCGCCCGGCAATCGTCTGTGTACAAAGGAAGGTCTTTAGCGATCCAAAGGGCGCAGCCGCCTGTACCGGCAGCGGATGCTCCAGAACTATAAATAAAGTAATCCGAGTCTGCCTGCACCTCAGATTCGGGCAACCGGGTCTCCTGTAAACCGACAAAAAGCGGTTCTAGGGGCTTTAGAGACGTCTTGAGCATGTCCCTTCGCCCAGTGATCTGGAGGCCAGTGGAGCCGCCGGCTTTATGAGGTCGGGGCTCCCGCAGTGTGAGAACGTTGAGGGTCACACAAGAGAGCACATACCCTACTTGGGATGGCGGCAGTTGGCAGTCTTGGATGCCGAAAGTAGGGCTGTGGGTGGGGGGATCAGAGCTGCATTGTCCACGGCTAGCCTCAACGCCAAAACAGTACAGGTGTGGGAGGTCTCCATGCCCCGGCAGGGTAGTCCAAGCCCAATCTCGGAGGGAATGCTGCGCGAAATGGCGCGGCCATTCCGGCAAACAGAAGGATCCGTCTTCCTGTGGCAGTCGCCGTGCAAGTTTGGCAAGGGCGTCACAAAGCTCATTACCAAGGCATCCTGTGTGGCCACGCACGTGGCGGTGCGTAAGTGGCAGCAGCACTGCAACATATTGCCGCAAGGCCACGGCTAAACCTGCCAGGGCAATGTATGGAGACTGTCCCCCGGACCCAACGGGCGCAGTGACACCAAAGGCACCGCCACCAGCAGCAAGGGCGTCGTAAAGAAATTCGGCAGGAACACCAAAAAGACGACCATGTTGTGCGGTCCAACAAAGTGCCCAACAGAGCGCAAGCAACTCTGCCGTCATGGCATCATCCCGGGATTCACCTAAATAAAAGGCACTATCGGGTGGGAAGGCGGGCGCGGACGCGTGCCCAATCAGCAGCCGGT